GGATCGCGGAGAATCCTCGGGGCTCCGGAGGAGTTCTCACCTACATCGTCCATATAGGACGACTCGGGAACTCAACTCCTACCCCGGGCAGCTCACCTATCCCCTTATGCCCAGGGGAAAGGTATCAAGCCGTTTGACAGCTGATGCTGGCTGTCAAACCGGCTTTTACGCGAAACAGGCGGGAGGCAGCAAACAGCTGGGACCGACAAAGTCGCCTGCCACCGGAAGTCCGTCTCCCATCCAATCCTAACCAACTCTAACCCTACATAGTTTTTCCGAGGTCAGCCAAGCTTAGCAAGGTGACACCAGATGCTATCACATATGATAGCCTTACTAGGACGTTATTATTTCCTGCCTCTTAAAGATATGAGTCATCTGTACACAGGGCCAAATCAGAATGAACAGAACAACAGAGGTGGGAGGGACCTTGGAGGTCTTCTAGTCCAACCCCCTGCTCAAGCAGGAGATCCTACACCTTTCTAGACAAATGGCTATCCAGTCTCTTCTTGAAAACCTCCAATGATGGAGCACCCATAACTTCTGGAGGAAAACTGTTCCACTGATTAATTGTCCTCACTGTTAGGTAATTTCTCCTTAATTCCAGGTTGCTTCTCTCCTTGATGAGTTTCCATCCGTTGCTTCTTGTCCTGCCTTCAGGTCCTTTGGAGAACAGCTTGACTCCCTCTTCTTTGGGGCAGCCCCTGAGATATTGGAAGACTGCTATCATGTCCCCCCTGGTCCTTCTCTTCATTAAACTAGACATACCCAATTCCAGCAACCGTTCTTTGTATGTTTTAGCCTCCAGTCCCCTGATCATCTTTGTGGCTCTTCTCTGCACTCCTTCTAAAGCCTCAACATCTTTTTTACAGCATGGCGACCAAAACTGGATGCCGTATTCCAAGTGTGAAGACAGGAATCACAGTTCCTTAAGCTCCCCTTCTGACGTCAGGACAGGTTGTATGTTAAAATCCTGTACTTTTGCTGCCCACTTAATTGTTAGGTTACATTCAATCTCGCCCGTGGAGGGGACGGATTACTGCAAGAAAACAACAGATTCTCCCCTCGCATAGGTGGCCCAATGTTCGGCCGTTTCCATGGACTCAGACTGGAGTTCCTGCGTTTGGGCACACCGATTCAGACATAGCTGTCTCTGTTTTCCAGGTTGCCCAGAGTAACTCTCTCGCCAGCCCACCTTTGCTAATGAGTGACCTTTCCAGGATAAAGAGAACTGGACTTTGGGGGTGGACGGGAAAATGTTCGCAGAGTCTTCCGTAAAGCTTAAAAGATTGAAGTGCCGGGAGATTCAACGATGTTATGTTGGCACGGATTGATGCCAGTTCTTCTCCTTTTTTGGGGGGGGGGGTTAATGTTGTACGTTTTAATGGATGCATTTTGCAGTTTTTAAAATGATTTCATTCGAGCCGTACTGTCGGAAAGATGGGTGGCTATGTAAATATTTAAAATAAACTAGATCAGGGATCCCCAACCTATGGGCCGCGGCCCATTACCCGGCCGTGGTGGCCACTGGGCCGTGGGACAGGCTGGCCAGTGCGAGCACTCACCCCCACAAGCGCTAGCGCCCACGGACCCGTTTGCGCAGGCGCGTGGGGCTAGCGGTGGCGGCTAGCACCTGCACGCATGCACAAATGGAGCCGCTAGCGCCGTGCGCATGGGTGCTAACAGCAGTGGTGACTTGTGCATGCACACATGTGCAAATGGAGCCACTAGCACTGTGCGAGTTGCACAGCCCATTTATGCATGCGTGTGGGTGCTAGCAGTGGCGGCTAGCGCATGCGCAAAGGGGGCCGCTCGCCCCGTGTGGGTGCACACAGCCCCATTCGAGCACGGCCCCGTTCGTGCATGTGCACGCGCAGACAAATTTCCCAGCTGCTCCCTTTCCCTCCGGGCCACCAGCATGAAAAGGTTGGTGACCCTTGGAACTAGATAGTCCTAGACTTACAACAGTTCATTTAGTGACTGTTTGAAGTTACAACAGCACTGAAAAAAGGGACTTATGACTATTCTATTCTATTCTATCCCATTCTATTCTATTCTTATTCCCATTCTATTCTATTCTTATTCCCATTCTATTCTATTCTTATTCCCATTCTATTCTATTCTTATTCCCATTCTATTCCCATTCTATCCCTATCCCTATTCTATTCTATTCTATTTTCATTCCCATATTCTATTCTATTCTATTCTATTCTATTCTATTCTATTCTATTCTATCCTGTAATTCTATTCTATTCTATTCTATTCCACTCCACTCCAATTCTCTATTCTACTCTATTCCATTCAATTCTTATTCCCATTCTATTCTATTCTTATTCCCATTCTATTCTATTCTTATTCCCATTCTATTCCCATCCTATTCCTATTCCTATTCTATTCTATTCTATTCCATTCCAATTCTCTATTCTATTCTATTCTATTCTATTCTATTCTATTCTATATTCTATTCTATTCTATTCTATTCTATTCTATTCCATTCCTCTATTCTTCTATTCTTCTATTCTATTCTATTCTATTCTATTCTATTCCATTCCATTCCATTCCACTCCATTCCATTATTTATGATTACTGTATTTTTTTAATCCTGATTCACATCATTCTGCGTTCTTCATAACAGTATAATTTAATTGCAGACGTTGCATATTGCCTAAAACACTTTTGTTACAACACCACCTCAATACAATATCTGAAAGGTTCACAGGGGCTGCCAGCACCACGCACAGAGCTTTGAAGGCAGAGGTATACATTGGAGGTGGCTTCGGGGCCCGTAGAGACGCGTCCCCCTACTTACATTTCAGAGCGCTGAACGCCAGCTCGTAGGACAAACGCTGGAATTCCTCGTCTTTGAAATCCGGAAGGGATGGCAACGGCCCGGTTCCGTATTTCACCAGGATTTTATCGTGAGGTTTTTCGTTACGGACGCTTTGAAAAATGTGGGCGGCGCTGAGGTACAGGGGGTCCCGGTGCCCGCTCTTCACGACGGCGTCCGTCGAGTTCAGGTCGGAAGGCAGGATTTCGCTGGAAAATATCGTTTCGTGCATGCCAGAAAGCTCGTGCGCTATAGTGTGGTCGGGGGACCCCAAGCTGCTCCTCAGGATTGGCATCGTTCTCGCACTGATGGGTCTCGACGTTGCAGGCGGTGAAATCAGAATCTTAAAAAGGCCCTGCGGAATTACAGAGGAGGCCAAAATAGGCATCACGGGAAACCTCGGGCAGAAATTCACCTTGGGCCTTTTCTTACAGGGGACCCCACAGGATTTTGGTCCTGGCAGTTAACACAGGGATGTGGCGGGATTCCATACCGTACAAGGCACGTACAAAAAGAGAAGGTCAAAGAAGATGAGGCGGGCCCAGAAGAGGATGGAGAAACAACATCGCACTACAACAACATCAGTGAGCAAGGGTTGAGGACACCAGAAGAGCTAAAGCTAGAACTTGTATCTCCCTCGACACCCTAAGAGGTAAAGGAGGAGGAGGAGGAGGAGGAGGAGGAGGAGAAGGAGGAGAAGGAGGAGGACGACGACAACAACAACAACTGTGGGGTCCTTAGTGCTCTTTGAACGGTGGTTTTCTTGCAGATGTTTCATGACCCAACTAGGAAACATCATCAGTGCTAGAAGGGAGTGGGGTGTGCAGATAGGAGGAGGAGGAGGAGGAGGAAGAGGAGGACTGTGGGGTCCTTAGTGCTCTCTGAACTTGGTGGTTTTCTTGCAGATGTTTCATGACCCAACTAGAGAACATCATCAGTGCTAGAAGGGAGTGGGGTGTGCAGATAGGAGGAGGAGGAGGAGGAGGAGGAAGAAGA